CTAGTAAGTAAAGTGACCCAAATTCCACAAATAGGTTTTATTTAATGTTAATTGTATTAACATGTAGCAAAAAATGGTTATAATACTCTATAAAATAAGAAATAACAAAATCTAATTTAATGAAAATGTGTATGCAAACTATGGTTTTATGTTTTAAGTTGAGGCTAAGAAAGTTTTATATAAAAGTTAAAAATTAAAACTGTTTATTTTGTTTATTTAGCTTAATATAGTTATTGTTAAATTATGTGCTTAAAGTATAAAATTTTTAGTTGCAGTTTAATATTTAGAGTATAAAAATATCTTTTATATATTAAGTAAAAACTAAAAAAGTGCCGCTTTAACTGTACTTTTTTACTGGAACAACACCTGCTTATTTGTAATGTTGTCGACGTTGTTATCTGAACAGATTTAACTTTAATTGATGTAAATTGTTAGCAGTATCTTATTGGGTAATTATAACACACCAACTTGTAATAATTAATAAACTATTTCATCGCTAGAAGTATTATTTTATTTGGTACAAGATTTTGCTAACATTATTTAGCTCAGCCATTTGTGTGCCTTTTGGTTAAAATGTAACAATTAAATCATGGGCTTTCAAATAAAAGTTGATATATTGTAATTCAGTTAAAATAAATGGTGAATTTGTATTTGCTACGTATAAATAGGTCAAATAAGTTCAAAAAAAGATTATATTACATGAATAATAGCATATGTAAACTTGAACAGAAAGAAAACGCGTTTAAATCTCTACATTTGTGCATTTGAAAAAAAAAATGTTGAGTAAAAGTCCCTGTTCGTTATAATACAGTTGAGGTAAACGTTCAATAGCTAATAAACTAACGTTTGCGGTGAACTTTAAGTCAACGTTTGCTGTTTGTTATTTGAACGTTCGCAGTGAACGTTCATGAACTGAAAATTCGAGTTCACAAAAGTTGATTCAAATAACTTTTGCGGCGTACATTACGCAAATCTTAACGAATGTTATGGTGACGTTTATTGAACTTTGATTTTAGCTGCGATTAAACAATTTTCCATAATTTTTACGGGACGTTCATAGAGCTTTCTTGAACGTTCATAACGTTTGTACAACGTGCTCGAACGTTTTGTGTTAGGTTGGATGGTTTCTGAGACCCGAATTTTTGGCAGAAACCCATTTTTTTAAAGTGTTTAAAAAGATTTGTTTTAAGTAGTACCTTAAAGTAAACCCTTCAAAGTTATATTAAACGTTGTCTATTTTTAAATTAATGGCTTAATTTGTTTGTAACATGAACTCAAGCTTAGAATATTTTAAACTCAGTTTAGTTTGCAGTGAGTTAGCGTAAACTGAGCTGTTAAATTAAAAATACATAAATTTTTATTTAATTAATACTTTTAATTTCTGTAAAGTGAATTATTTTTTTACCGCTTTATAATTTTTAAAAACATTTTCTTAAATTAAAATATTGCATTCTTATGTTATTTAAAAACAAACAATAAACGCGTAGAATTATTTCTTCTTCCATTACTTTTTTCAAAACCTTAAATTTACTTTTAAAAAAATTTCCGTATTTCTCCAAAAATATTTTTACACGATTGTATTTTGTTAACCTTTTTGAGATATATTCCAATTTTTAAAACTTGCTTCTAGTTGCCCCAATTAAAAATATATCTAGTTATTTGCTGTGATGTACCATTTCAAATACAAGGATTTATTTTATGTAGGGCCGGATTAGAACGATAAAATTGGGAAAAACTCAGATGTTTTTGAGCACCCCATTAAAATGATGGAAAATGATATAAAAGTAGTTATAAGCAATAATACTTAAAAGACAATTTGTCGTTTGTGCAATTCGTTAGAACGAAAATGATTAGATAGTCAAAGAACAATGAGCCAATTTAAAAGTAAAAATTCATATTGGTTAAAAAGAGAACTTAGGTTTACTGATGATGCAACTCCATCAAAATCTTTTAGTCAGTCAATTCCATTAAAATCTTCTGGACGACCAAGCTTATCATACAAAAAAAATAAGATTGGGTCAAAGGATTGGAAGCATCAGAGTTATGTCGAAAAAGGTCTAACGAAACATCACCTTTATTGCAAGTAGAAGATTTGGCGCGTCAGCAAAAGACACGTTATTTAGCTTTGGTTATAAAACAATCAAATAAAAGTCTATTTATCAAAGGTCAACAAAAATTTTAAAAATATATATTTTCACAAAAAAAAAAAACAGTACTTTATACAGCCGAAGAAGCATTAGAATTAATTTTGGATTTTAATTTAACAACAACATCAAAATATCAAACAAGTAGCTGTTATTAAAATTGTAATTGGTATCCTGGTTACAAAGAGATTTGGAAATGTAAATTAACATGAAAAACAAATGGTATATTTATAATGGTTTAAACTCAGAAGATATTAGGATCTTATGAGCAATCACACTCCTCAATCTACGCGGTTTTAAGTGAAAAACACTATATTGAAAGACAGGTAAATAAAAAAATACGATATTGACGGATAGATAGATAAATTAGAGCAATTTTTTATAAAACATTAACATTTTTTGCCTATTAGTAAAATAAAAATTAAATCATTACTTTATTCATGACGCAAGTTGATAAAAATATTTTAAATATATTAACTGGAACAAATTCAACCCAAGCCGTCCCATATGTCGAGCTACTGCCAATATATTGTTCGATATGTAAAGCTACTTCCAATGATTTTGATAAACTGTATGAGTTCAATGCGACAGAATAACTAAAACCTAAATCTGATACTTTACAGTATGGTATTAGTCTACAATAAGCTTAGAAATGGTTTTATGAATTCATCGTCCACATATTATATAAATATAATTGTTGTAAACGGAAAACTCTTGGTGTTCGTAATAAGAAAATTGTTTTATGTAAAAAAAAAAAAAAATACAACAACGGTTCTTTGAAAATTATCACTTTTACGTGAATAAACTAAACTAAGTACTAACAAAAGCAATACTACTCGCCGAGCATTTGAAAATGTTGAAAAAATGTGAATGATTTATTAAAAAAAAATCAGATAAATTTCATCTATATTTGTTAATAATTTAAAATTATGTCTTATTCTTATATATATATATATATATATATATATATATATATATATATATATATATATATATATATATATATATATATATATATATATATATATATATGATAATTTAAAATTATTGCTATGTCTATATATATATATATATATATATATATATATATATATATATATATATATATATATATATATATATATATATATATATATATATATATATATATATATATATATATATATATATATATGATAATTTAAAATTATTGCTATATCTTTTGCATGTGTCAATGAAAATATTTTTCATAAAGTCTTAGATATCTCAGATTCTATTATTTCCATCATTAAATTACACAGAAGAATTCATAACCATCGTAAGTTCCCAACTCGTTCTAAGGTATTTAGTTTATTAAAAAAAATGCCATCCAATACCTTGCAACATCATCATAGAGAAAGCAAAGAAGGTAGTAAATTAATTGTCCACATATAAGCGATAATGACTACGACAATGAAGTTGCTGATGAGAACCTAATTTCTGTTAGCTATTTAAATTTCATTTAATTGGATAATAAAATATTGTTGAAATTTAACTGATTTTTAGAATACAAATTTATGTTATGGTATTTCTTTACAATAGATTTGAATTAAGTATAACTTTATATTAAACATACCTATAGATTGAATGTATATAAATTTATCATATACTTCATGTATTAAATATATATATATATATATATATATATATATATATATATATATATATATATTTATATATATATATATATATATATATATATATATATATATATATATATATATATATATATATATATATATATATATATATATATATATATATATATATACATATATATATATATATATATATATATATATATATATATATATATATATATATATATATATATATATATATATATATATATATATATATATATATATATATATATATATATATATATATATATATATATATATATATATATATATATATATATATATATATATATTATTCATACAAAGTTTAGTTATAACACATTTACGAACATTTTAGCTATCTTAAGAAATAAAAATCGTTAATTATTTTGTGTTTAAATTGAAGTTATTTAATGAAGTTTTTCTGAGACCCGAGATTTTGGCATAATTAATTTATGCCAAAAATTCAGGTCTCAGAAAACATAGCGCAATGACCCATTATTGGCCTTTACAGGCCCATTTTTAGCCCCTACTAACTAGTATTAGATTTTTCTGGCAATTTAAGACTATCAGCTATATAATCCAGCCTATATTAAATTATCACAGATCATCGTTAAACATTGTTCACCACTGGGTAATATCTGCTCAACGTAGAATTATAATCGCCTAATCTTTATCCAATATGAGCCTATTATTGGCTTTTCTTGGCACTACACTAACCTTTGTATATTCTCAACGCATTTTGTTTTGGCAACAAGAGCTTACAATCGTAACTGCTGCGCTAACAAATATGTAATACATATAATAATAACTTAATTTTTAATTCAAAACAATCTTTTTAAAATAAAATTGATTGTCAACTTGTTTGAAAAAAAAGACACAAAATCAAGTTGTAAATCATATACAAGAAAAATATGAAATACGTCTTCCTTAACAAATATTCATAACTTCCTCTTAATAGAGCACATTCCTAATATTTTTCTATAATTACTTGTTTTAGCTGTAAACTTAAAAATAATTTGAAGTAGAAATGATAATTTTTATTAACCTATATGCTCAACCAGCATTTAATTAAAAAATAAATTAAAATGGAAAGAGGAAAATTTGATTAAAATATAAAATATAAAAATTATTAAAATTTGATTAAAAAGCATATGATTAAATTTGTTTTATTTGCTTATTAAATAAGGAGAAAATTAAATGTTTTTTACAGTACTTTCTACATTTTTACGCGTCTCCTCACAATTTCTTTGAAGGCCAGCTCTATCAGCTGAACCCGACAACCATAACTAAGTTGTTGCTGTGGCATAGTTTTTTCTTAATGCACCTAAAAAAAAAATACCAAGATTAAATAGAGATGAACCGAAAATGAAAATAAAAAAAAAAAAATTATATCAAAATAAAGTACTATCACCAGTACAATACAACTCATAATAACAAGTGTACTGTTAATATAATTAAAAAAAAAAAAAATTTTAAAATTCATGTTAACTCTTAAATAAAACCTAATGTGTAGTTTCATTTAAAAAAATGTTTTTAAATTTACAACTAATGAGTATACTACATAAATCCTGAACCGTTTTTATTCAACAAGTTTAGCATTTTTTTAATTGAAAGAAAATTTAAATGTATAATAAAATTTAAATGTATAATAATCTATCCAGTATCCAAATATATCCAATTTCTCTCATCATCACGTTTTTTTTTTTTAATTAGGGTAGAGCTGAAACAAAATTATTTTAAAAATTAGAACTTTAAACGATGCATAGATGGTTTAGGACGAATTTCTTATGCATAAAAGCGTACATTATTTTTATCAATAAAATACTTCTCAAACTTCAAATTTAGTTATATGATTTGTATTATTTGTGTAAATTATTATCATAAAATGAAATAATTGTGTATTAATGAAAAAACTGCATTGCATCGATAGTTGTGCTGTTGAAATTCTTTTAGATATTTTCCTTAGACAATCCTCCTGGCTAATCCCACCAATGCGAGGCAAATAGTTTAATTAAGTAAAAAACATTATACAAGCTATTTACATCATCTGCAAATGGATCTGCCACCCAACCACAATTGATTTAAATTCTTGCTATGCATTTCAGGGCTATTCTCGTTGTTTACCAAATTTCTGATAAATGGACTTGTACTTTTATAATGTTTATAAATAAACGAAATTATGCTTTTGAAATGTTTAGCTTAATGATAAAATATTAGATTAACTGAAAAAAGTCAGTCCATTACTAATAGACTTTATTTTCTAAGTGTGTTATTTAAATTCATATTTAGCTTACTTACAGCGAAAAAAAAACTTTTTTACAACATTATTTTGTGTTTTAAACATATTCATATATTTTTGGTATTTCAACGTTTTTATACGTTTTATAATATTTTGCGTGTGTGTGTGTGTGTCCGTCCGGTTATAATCTTTGAAGCTATATTTAACTTTCCGACTAGCTAAAGCTCTGAAACTTTCGTGATAGCTCAGAACCCAATGGCAATCCAAGTTAGAATCATTTTCTAGCCTCGACGTCAATATATCTCTCAATTTCAACAAAATAAAATTTTATGTGCATATGTCGCTATTTATTTCATATAAAAAAGTAAATAGCGACTTTAATGAGAACTTAAAGTAAAAACCACTTTAAAAAAAATTTTCTTTGTTAATAATTTTTAATAAATGAGTTGAATACTTTTGCAATTCTTTTGTTACTTAACTCTGCTGAATTCTTTTGTGCAAAATTCTTTTGTTACGTAACTCTAACTATTTATTAACTTGTTATGCACCCAACGTTTTTTGTTTTACGTGTATCAAATTTGTTGTAAAATCTGTCATCATTAAAAGAGCAATTTAATTAGACATTCTGAAAAGCTCAAAGAAAAATTGTTTGCTACTTTTAAGTTTGTTTGAAAAACGTTGTTTTTTGAAAAAAAATCATTCTTTATTGCAGAATGGTCAACTTATTGTAAAGCGTTGGCCACACAAATAGAAAAGTCAAATTTTACTTTTAAAACAACAAATGTGCACTTATATCTTACTTTATAGGTTCTTCTTTGCAATAAAATATATAATTTCATAAACTATATTACAGATAACAGAAAAAAAAAAATGAAACAATATTTTGAAATAGAAAATGATAAAAAAATAGCTTACTGTTATTGATCTCTGCTCAGAAATTTTCATAAGAATTCTGTTGAATTCTAGAAGATCATTATCTCTTCGAGTGGAAAGGTCAGGCCTTCTGGGAGAGTTGCAGTTATGGTTTGTCCAATTTGGGCATGTTTCTGCCCATGCACTTTAACTTCAGCTTTTAGTTTTTATAGTTGCCTCAACACATTTTGAAAAAATGGTTGTTAACTTCAGCCACAGCTTGATTTTCTATATAAGGAACAATTTACAAAAAAATTATCACTTTATACTAATAGTATACTAATAATTATTTTATACTAATAGTTATAAATTATTATTTTAAACTAATATTTTATATAAAAAGTCTTTTTTAATAAATAAAAGTCAAATTCATTGCTGTTTAAGGGTGGAGGCCTAAAAATTAAATTCTGAAAGTTAAACCAACGTATTGTGGAAGCAGAATATAGTGATGGTTGACCAAAAATTTGATTAGATGGTGTAGGTACAATATTACGTAAAGATGCTGTAGATACAATATGACGTGAAGATGGTGGAGGTACAGCTAAAGAACTAGGAAGTAATGGTGCAGGAAGTGATTTTTACCTCAGAGTTTGTAATAGTTGTAGTTTTTCATCTGAGCTTGAGTTTGAACACGATTTCTCAATACCAATTTTTTTGGTTTCCATTTTTGATGAAAATTCAGGCACTCTGAAAAATTATAAATAACATAATTTTTTAAAATTTGTCAATAATACACTAATAACTAAGCAATTGTTAAAATGAATTTATTGTATTTTTAAAACCTTGCAGTTTTTTAAACAAATAAATTGTCTTTAAAAAAATAAAAGTTAACAATAAATTGTAGTGCAGAATCACAATTCTGCACTACAAGTAACTGTTACATATTATATTATACCATTATAATGTTTTGGCTTTTTTTTCCTTTATCTGACTCTTTTATACTTGTTCAAAGCAACTTAAAGATTTGTCAGTGTTGTTCAAGGACTTGACTTCTTTTCATCTTTTCATAATCTGAGACAAGCAAGTTTTACAGTTAATTTATTTAAACTATGAGGTATGAAAGAATGCTATTCATTGCGATTGTTTTTTTGACATATATTTATTTAAAATTATAGCCATACATTTTTTTTTTTTTTTTGTTTTTTTGACATATATTTATTTAAAATTATAGCCATACATACAATTTTATTTGCCACATCATCAATCTATTTATGTAGTGTTGTGTATGTAATAACGCTCTTCTTTTGATGCGCGGGTGATAAGGTTAATAGTTGAAATCCTTTTTAGGGAAATTTTTTGTAAACTTAATTGTTTTAGTTCTAGGAGGTCATTACCTGTGCGCTTCCACAAAGGTTTTTATATACCCAATAACATTTTACAATGTTTGTTTTATAAATGTCAAATTATATAAATGTTGTTAAGAATATTGCACCAATATAAAATCATCACATTTAAATAATGGTGCGATGTTCTTAACAATATTTAGCCAACATAACAAGGGAACTTAGTCACAACTCATCATTTAGTTTCTTGTAGTCTGAACACTGTTTAATAATAATATTGCAACATAACAATAATTTTGATACTTAAAAATAATTTGATTTGTTAAATAACGTAGTTTGTTGTATTATGTGAAAAGTAGAAACTAAAATAAAGCAAAAACAGTAGCTAAAAATATTGATTTTTTTTTTTTACTAAAAAACTGAAAACAAACTTAATACTTTAAATTTAATAAAGCAGTAAACTAATATTGACGGGTATGTTACTAAATAAATTTTATGGAGACCTGTAAATTTTTAGTTTAAAAAATTTATTTTTTGATTTTCAGTACAAAAAATATTATTTTTAGCAATTATTTTACAATATTTTGTTTAGTTTTTAATTATGAACTTAAAAACAAACAAAATTTAAAGATTTTTTGCATTTATACTTAGTTACACTCCCCTTTTCGATATCTAGTGATACAATAATAAGTTTTGATAGTGAAATAATTATAATGTATCTATTAAGTCAAACATCGTAGCCTGATAACACACCTTAGGTTGACGATGGGGTTTAATTAGAAAGAGCCTGAAGAACAAGTGTTGTGATGATAGACTTAATCATTTATTGAAAAAATTTTTAGATTGACATTTTAGATAAACATCAATTAGTGTTTAAGAGATTGTTTAAGATATTATTTACAGTTATACACTTGTACTACTATTATGCTATTAAAACAGAGGAACGAGAATAAATTTAGTTTGGTATGGTAACATCACATATTTCTTATGAATTTCATCCACTTTGACTGTTTTAAAATGATCAGACAAGTTAGATGTCTTTACAATATTAAAGTTGTCTGAAGAATTAGTTGGATAATTCCACTATATAATAGAAATTGTCTTAATTTAACTGCTTTCTATCTTTCAAAGTCTTTTAAAAGTCTACATTTTCTATAAAATTCATGGCGAATAACAATTCTTGAATCAAATAGCCCTTCTGAAATCCCATTAACGGATGTCAGTCCTAATCTTATTCCTTCTATGAAGCTTGTGTTGCCAAAAGACTGTAAAGTCATTGCAGCGCCTAAGCCATTTAACACATTTAAAAAAAAATGTTTTGTCAGAAGTTTTTGAGCTTTACCTTCAAATTAATCTTGATGGATTACCTTTGCAAAAGTATATTTTTCAGCAACTACGGCCAATAATAGCAAAAATATGAAAGCCATTTACTAGTTATTCTATTTTAATGGGTTAGTTTTGTGGACAAAGTAAACCTATACTCATAAATGAATATTTAAAATATTTTATTGACGAAATGCTTGAATTAGAAAAGCCCCTTTAAATTTTTATGTAGATGGTAAAACTTACTCTAATATAAATCTCTTTTTGGGCTAATATAAATTTGTCTTTTTTTATTTGTGACACCCCGCAAAGAGCAAATGTGAAGAAAATCATAGGTCATTGTAGATATTATGGGCGTGATAAGTGCACGCAAAAAGGGGAATGGCAAAATAATTTTTGTTCCCAAGCACTTATTCTCGACTAAGGACTGATCAAGCTTTTAATCAGACAACAGATTTTGAACATCGCATATGATTTTCTCATTTAAAAATTTTGTCTATTGCCATCGTGACGCAGTTTCCACTTGACTACATGCACTTAGTGTATCTTGAAGTAATAAGAAGGATTTTAATGTTTTTACTGAAAAGCCCAGTTAAAGTAGGAAAAAGATTAGGACTGAAAACCGTTAATGGGATTTCAGAAACAACATTTATATATTTTGACATTTGTAAAACAAACATTGTAAAATATTATTGGGTATATAAAAGCTGCAATATAATGACAATATATTTTTAATCATAGTCAGTTAAAAAATAATAAAATTAAAAAAAATAACACCCTGATAAGGTATTGAGCCCGTAACTATGCTAGCCTCACCTCAAAATTATGTATTTAATACATCCACACGGTTACACTGCAATATATATATTTATATATATATATATATATATATATATATATATATATATATATATATATATATATATATATATATATATATATATATATATATATATATATATATATATATATATATATATATATATATATATATATATATATATATATATATATATATATATAGATTTAGATATATATAGATAGATAGATCTATCTATATATATATATATATATATATATATATATATATATATATATATATATATATATATATATATATATATATATATATATATATATATATATATATATATATATATATATATATATATATATATATATATATATATATATATAAATATATATATATATATATATATATATATATATATATATATATATATATATATATATAGAGATATATATATATATAGATATATATATATATATATATATATATATATATATACAATGCCAGTTATGCTAATAAATAGTTGATGTATTAAAATTACTTTGAAGCAGCAGGCTATAAGGTAATTGATATAGCAACACTCAGTGCATGTTTTAAAAATATAATTTATTAAATTATCAACAAAAAGACTAATACCTTAAACGTCGTTATGCTTACCAAATAAAAGTACCCTTAGAAAAGTCAATATTTACTGTTAAAATGTCTTTGCAGTGTTGCTGAAGCTTTTACTTCTGCTGGAGAAGAATTACCTTTAAGATCAATTGATAGACCATCAAAGAGATTGCTTGATGTTGATGATGGTCCAAGTAAACACGATTGTAAAGCTTTGGTATCAAACCCATGTGTTGATGTTTGCTACGATAATATGGACCATTGGCCAGAACACAGAGATTCAAAGAACAGAAGTAGATTCCGCAAGACTGGATTTAGTAGAATATATTGTATGAAATGTAAAATACCTCTTTGTCTGACACAAAACAAAAACTGTTTCTTGGATTTTATAAAAAATAAGTATTTGATGTATTTGAAGTATTCTTGACATATAGGATTAAATTAGTTTATATAGGTAACTTTTTTTTCTTGTGTTGATCGAATATATATATACAATAAAGTATTTCATTTGCTCACTCTAAATTCAACATTATTTTCTTTATTATTCTTATAACACCTGTTGCTCCTGCATCTATGTTGTAAACTTTGTTTTGCTAAAAAGTTCATCTGGAAAGGTGCAATCTAATTATGGTAATAGCATAATAAGTGTTTTTTATAATTATGGAGTTGTATTTATCAATTTTAAAAAAAAAGTATAACTTCTGAACCATTTTTTTTTTTTATATTTTACTATAGAAGACCAATGTTGCCAAATGGCAACAATTATTTAAAGGAAATTTTTTACAACTGCATACAAAATTTTTTAACTTTTTTTTTATTTGAACTTTAACTGTTGTGAAAATTGGGCTTGATAACATATTGTGGTAAAAAAAGCCTAATAAACTTTCCTCCCAGAGACTTCGAGGTCACCCAATGAAATTTGAAAGGGAATTTGCAAAAACAACACCGAGACACAGAGTGATACCTTATTGGAATGCTTTACCTGAAAAAGTGGTTTCTGCAATGATAGTAAATTCTTTTAAATCTAGACTAGATAAACATTTGTTAACGGCTGTTAAAGTATAAATTTTAAACTTTATGCTCTGCGACAATCGTCATTACAGCAGTTTGTATTACTATAACTATTACTAAAATATTACTTCATATTTTTTTTAAAAGGTATTTCATAATTCGGCCCATAAAGGGTTAAAAAAACTTTCTAGATCATCATTTTGCAATTTTTTGAAAAACAAAAAATTTTCCAAAAAATCTATATTTAAATAATATATATATGTACATATATATATATATATATATATATATATATATATATATATATATATATATATATATATATATATATATATATATATATATATATGCACTACGAGTGCTTAATTTACGGGTATTTTTTTTTTTTCCCCTGCTAATCGCAAATTTTATTTTTGAATTTTTAATATATTTTTCATATATATTTTTTATAATTTTATTTTTTGTCAAATTTTATTTATTCATTTTTACATTTATCATTTTCGTAAAAAAATTTATTTTTTATAAATATTTTTATTATTTTTATTTAATTATTATCTATTATATTATATTTTTTTATATATATATTTAAAAAAACGATAATTTACGTTAAAATAACGAACCCTAACCCTAACACTAACCCTATGCCAGACCTTGCTGCCTGGCCAAACCAAACCCTCAGTCGATGTAGCAGCACTCCCTTGCGAGTCAGACTATTTGTCAGTCAATGTATGTACTTTTTGCTTTGCATAAAAACTATTTACGGGGAAATATTTTTACAAAAAAAACGCCTCTTACGAGGACAAAAAATTATTGATACTAAAATGTCGCCGATACTGCTAATGTCCTCGTAATTATCCATTTTAATGTAAAATCTGTTCTTGAACATGCTTTTATATGGATATATATATATATATATATATATATATATATATATATACATTTATATATATATATATATATATATATATATATATATATATATATATATATATATATATATATATATATATATATATATATATATATATATATATATGTATATATATATATATACATATATATATATATATATATATATATATATATTTATACATATATATATATATATATATATATATATATATATATATATATATATATATATATATATATATATATATATATATATATATATATATATATATATATATATATATATATATATATATATATATATATATATATATATATATATATATATATATATATATATATATATATATATATATATATATATATATATTTATTGTTTTTAAATAGTGAAGAAGTACAAACTAATATAAACTTAACTACAAACTGCTTATGTTATCTTGAGAACATAACACTTTATCTACAAGTAGATCCACTTTTGATATTTAAAGGATTTCTGTGGGATGACTCAATTATAAATGAAACGTTTGTGGAAAGGAATGGAAGGAATATTTTTGTTAAGGTAAGTGTTTTAGTACTAAAAGAAAATATATTATTTTAAAATTACTTTAAGGGGAGGTCATTCTCTAATATTTCCATTTAATAATAAATAATTGGTCAAAGAAACTAAATAAATCTTTTGGACAAAGTTACACTCCATTAGTTTAAAAATAAAATTAGTTTTTAAAGTTATGACATTTATTTTTTCTACCAATGTCCTATTTTTCAAGTTATTCAACAGCTTTTTCTGTAGTGTAGTTTTTACTAATATATAATAAATAATAATATTCTTATAAAGGCTTTGATTTATATTTATTTTATTACTATTTTTTTTTGACTTATAAACATTGTTTATTGTGTGTTAGGAGAAAGGAGTAAAACTCGCTATTTAAATTTGTAATAGCCTTTTAATTACAAGTTGTATCTCCAGCAAGTTTCTATAAACACGCTTACAAAAAATATAAAATGTGCAGCATCTATATGAACTTTTAATTTTAGTTGTAGCACTAAAACCAATTGTTAGATTATTTTTTTTAACTGCCATATAAATAATTTTTTGTTTTAAATCTTTGGGCTAACTAGCTTTTGATAAAATAATAAAATATAGCAAAAATATTTGCTAAAAAATATAATCTTTTTTGTACTAAAAAGTAGAAAAGAAACTTTTTAATTTAAATTTGATAGTTCAGTAAACTAATAATTGACAGATGTGTTTTTATGTAAACCTTGCGCAGACCTGTCAATCTTGCATTTACTAAACTATTAAATTTAAATTAAAAAGTTTATTGTCTACTTTTCGGTACAAAAAAGATTTTACTTTTTAGCAAACGTTTTTGACATATTTTATTAATAATAAACAAACCCGCAAGCAGTTTAGAAGCAAATCTTTATATAAATGGACAAAGAAAGTTGAAGAAGAGCGCATGTTATGTGAAAAAAAGAATTATAAAAATTGTAATTTAACAAAGATTATCGCTTTTCGGATATGTATTTTAAATTTCCATTAAAATATTTTATGTTTATTTACCGTGAAACCTAATGTATTTTTACTAATTCTTACTAAATCCAAAAATAAGTATTAGCTCAGTTTTTGAAATAAAATAAATATAAGTTGGGCTTTTAAAGAGTTTATTTATTGATAGCGTTTTTATTAAACAGTTTAAAGTTTGGTTCGTTTTATAAAAACTAATAGGAGAATGGAAAATCTAAACTCGAGTTTGAAAGAACTTCTTTTATATAAACGTCATTAATTACAAAAGCGCATATATTTTATCGAGACCAAAACTGGGTGATCAAATTTTGAAATTTTCTGCATTATTCTAAAACGCAGTGAATAGCTAGTTAAAAAAAATTCCAAAAGCAGTTAATAAGTATACCTCAAAGAGGTTGAATGATTGTATCATACTTGCTAGAGTATTTTGGCAAAAGTTAGCCTCAGGACTTCAAAAAAGATAAAAGTATTATATGTTTGGTTGATGATGGAATATGATTAGTATTAACTTTCTAATTAAGTTGTTGCAGTTGGAAAGATTTAGAAAAAACCCATTTAATTTCAACAGTAGATGTAAACTTAAATATTTAAACTACATAAAAAATGAAGGTTCGCGTAGTTTAAAAATATTATGGATAATTATTGTCCAGTTGTTTGTCCGAAAAGTTGAAACTATGGAATATAGTTGAAACCAGCTACAAAAAAAATGGATAACAATGGAAGAGCAGCAAACTTTATATCAGGTGTGCAAGTTAAGTTCTGTTTTGGCTTGATTAAAGTTACAAGGCAGCCCATTTAGCTGTGAACAAGACATTTTTGAAGCAGATAAAGATATGTTAAAGTAAAAAAAAGTTCGAAAAATGAGGTACTTTATTTTAGGGATACAATGCAGGTCATTGTTGCAGAGGTCTATTCTGTTTAAATACATAATTGTTGATATAAAAATACAAACCTTTATCTTATGCCTACCAAAGAACACGCTCATAACCTAGATGTTCTATAAGGAAAGTTCACGCAGCAATCTCTATCTCATATGATTACTTTTATAGTTATTTTCCATTTTCAATAGTAAATAATAAACTGTATGAATTATTTTCATATAAAATGCTTAATTTTTTTTGTTACCTATAAATAATAAGGTATATTATTGATAAATTAAACAGAAAAAGATTTCTAGTTTTCTACTTTTCTTATATTTAATGAAAATAATAAATAAATATCATCTATTTTTAACAATCCTTTTTTTTGTCAATATATTTACTTTTACTAAAATCGAAGTAGAAGGCTAAATAATTAATATGAAAAAAAATGAATTTGATTTTCAGAATCAGCACAAAAAAGTAATTAAGAAAAATTGGTTAAACTATAAAAAATCTAAAAAAAGACGGTTATGGACCCCCTATTTTTAGAGTGAACATTTTAAAGTAACTTGAATAAAATTAATTACATTTTTTTAATTTTATGTTAACATAAATTTTGTAAATTTTATCAGTAAAAAAAATTGAAAAAACGGAGCGTTTTGAAATTTTTAAAAGAATTTTAATTAAATTTAATCAAATAACTTTATAAAACTATGAATATTAATAAAACTAATTTAAATTTAATAAAATAAATTCAATATATTAAAAAAAAAAAAAAAAAGAAAACAAAAAGGATGTCCATTTGTTTGTTTTTTTATAAAAATATTCCAATAATTAATTACAGTGTAATGTTTTCCGGCTAATCTGTTTTAAAAGACTGTTTAAAATAAACATATTAAAAAAGTTTTTGCGTTACGTATATTTCGAAACGGGTACGTCAATTCGTGAATACGTACGTAAAATTCAAATAGGGAAACTTTCTTACAGGGCTAACCCTTTAACAGTCCCGTGTTGTTTTTAAAATACGGTCGCTATTAGTCCGGCTTTTTTTTTTTTTAAAGTGGTCTTAAATGTCCCGAGTTTTTTTAAAACATTGCGTTTTTCAAACAAAAATAAAAAAAAAAAAAGATTTTATTATTTTTAACAGCAATAAACACAATAAAATGTAATTATTAATTAAAGTTTAAGAATATATACTATATAAACACAAAATATTTTTACTAATATTCACTTCTTGTATGATAATTTGCAAAGCATGGAGCAGGGCAAAGTCCTACATCACAATCTACACATTCAAATCTCAAATCTTTTTGAACTTTATTTTTGTGACAAACAACACACCTTCTTTGAGCATTATTCTTATTTTCAGATGTTGGGACATGAAGGATAATGTCTGTCAATCAATCGCAAGGGCCTGTTTGCAACCAATCTAGAGTGAGATTTTTTTGCTTGTTGACCATATCTTTGAATAATTGATGTGATTAACAGTATTCTAAAGTTTATAGGTGTTATGCTACGACCCATTTTATTACAAATTATTTGAGCATTGCAGGCTGCTTGATTAATCAAATGAGTAAACACTTTTTTGTACCATTTTTTCACTCTTTTTCTTTCAACTTCATACGATGTCATCATATGTTCACTTTTATCAACGCCGCCCTAGTTTTGATTGTAATCATCGATAACTAAAAGAACCTCCTTTTCTTTTCCAGATCTTAAAACATTTTTAGTCCCATCATTAACAAAAGTTAAAATGGTATATAAATATTTTTTATCTTTTCAATTTGATACCATTATATTTGTTTTTTATTCGTATAATAGTATTCGTTCATTTTTGTTCAACTTTGTTTTAACAGAATCAGGTAAACCTTTTCGGTCCTTACGAAATATTCCTATGATATCTGTAGATCTTAGCAACAAAACTGATGAAAGCTCATTAGAAGAATACCAGTTGTCAATGCAGAGTTTGTAGCCCTGGTCAAGTAAGCCATCCATAAAAAACATTAAGTTTTTTTTTTCCAACATAGCAATATTCTGAACTTAGAGTATTAGCTCAGATCCTGTATATAAAATTGATTTCCATACATATCTTGAATCTGACTCACACAATGAAAATGTTTTTATGCCAAATCTGGCACTTTTGCTGCAAATACATTGCTTCCAAGATAGTCGACCTTTCTACAGCAAAAGTGATTCATCTCTAGATATACTTTGTGTTGGTGTATACAATTCTTTGTATTTATTAGTAAGATAATCCCATACTATGCTTATTTTAGATAGAACAGGATGTTTATTTGGTAATGTAGCAAATCAACAAAGGAATAAATTTGCCCATTAACTTGAATTTTTTATAAGATAACAACCACTTAATACCAGCGCTTGAAAACAATGGATTTGTTGTATATATTAATTTATACGGGCTTCCATAGTACACCTTGCTTTTAAAATATTGCAAAATACTGCCTAATCTCTGGAACTGTTACAGGCAACCAGCGCCTCATTCTAGAATTTGCTGATAATTCTTTTTTATTTATAACTTGGGAGGCAAATAGATTGGTCTCATTTACAATAATCTCACAAATTTCATCTGTAAAGTTCAAAAAAAAGTGAGAGAGGATCATGTTTGACTATATTCTCGTTGATCTCTAAAGATTCAGATGTCCATTTGAGTATGTATGAAAACTCAGAAGATTCATTATTTAAAGAACTGTCGCTCTTTGAACAAAAAAAACAATTTATTTTTTCAAAACAATTTTTTCTTATTTCCTGGTAAACGAGGTTAAAATTAATGAAAAAACGAATATTTTTTACATTGATGAAAGTTTATTTAATTTAGTATTAAAGTACTTTTTTTAATTTTATTATTAAATTTATTGATCGATGAAATTGTTATTTATCTAAATACTCATTCATCTAGCTTTAAATTTAATTATTTATAATTATTATATAAATTTAGTGCTGGCTCGGCAACCATTTTTTAAATAAATTGCGGTGGCAACAACCTAATTTATATTTTTAGTATATCTATCTAAAAATATTTAAAAATTAATGCTAATTTTTTGTTTATATAAATTTATATTTGATATTTTATGGGTGGTTACTCGCTTATAAACGCGCATATAAGAATGAATAAATGCGCATATAAAAATGAATAAATGCGCATATAAAAATAAATAAAGGCGCATATAAGAATGAATAAACATGTAAGTTGTGCTGTTTCACCAATGGGAGAGCTTGCTTATGAAACAAAAACGGGAGGCTGGCATGCTTTTTTTTTTTTTTTTTTTTTTATCGTAAACTTATTTGCCTTCAATAAAAGAAATTAAACTTACAGAATAGCTTTATTACAAATATAATCTACAGAACTTCCAGAAGATCATGCGATCTTGACAATATCAAATATAATAACAATAAAATCAAATTAGGCAATAAAAATCAACATAAACTACATATAACAGTGCATTTAAAATATAAATATACTGGATAAATTATATGAAATATGTGAAGCAAAAAAACTAAAAACAAGAAAAAATAGTTTCTGTTGAAAAAATAACTTAAAATAACAAGATAAATATATTCACCTCCACATTTTAACTTACTTGGAACATTCCTAGGAGAATTTAAAATTGTCCTTGCGCATTTTGGTAAATTAACATGATGACCATACTGGTGTAAAATTAAAAATAACAGTTCATCACTTGCATTTCTAGTTATTAAGTGTTTTAAAATCCATTTGGCAATCACTGTAACATGTACTCCTTCATTAAGATAATCATTAGCATCATATGTAGGTATTCAGAGTCTAGATCAGAACTCTCAATTTTAGAAATATCTTTATGATCAGACACAAATTAAAAGTCACTATAGTTCTCAATTTTAATTTTTTTTTGAAATCAATGCAATTCTTGACTTCATTAATTTTGGATTTGACATTCGATGAGTTGCGATTTTTTCATTTACAAGTATATTATTTAAGGCTTGGCTATTTTAGCGCCATTCCCTCATGTATTGATTTTTTCTCTTGTTTATTTATTTTTTATTCTGAAATAAACGTAAATTTTAGTAGTTTTAACAATAACAAGATAATAATGAAAACTAAACACAATGAAAAATAATAATAATAATAATAAAACCTAAATTTTTATTAATAAAAAAATATTTAAAAATCTTTTTAGAAGAGTTAATATTCTTATATTTCCTAAACTTTGAAGAGTTAATATTCTTATTATCTAATTAAGCAACGTTTAATCAAAGTAAGTTTTTTACTTGCTAGCTCATTAACTTCATATAATTAAATGTTTGTATCTAATTGTCATAATTAAAATCATACAGTTAAATGTTTGTATCATAATTAAAATCCTAAAGTTAAAAGTCTTATAAAATAGTAATAGTTAATAGTAGTCCTAATTGTGTCAAAAATAATTTTTTTTTGGAAAGACAGTAAGAGCATTGGCTAGCCTTAATTAGGTATGGTTATTTAGGCTAAAATAAAAACTACCTTAAATTAAAATCTGAAAATAAAAATCAGTTATTACAGGTTTTTCAACAACTAAATGTTAACATTAAACTTTAGTTGGCAAAATAATGTCAAGATAATTTTTTATTCAGTTCATTTGTTTAAAATTAAAATATTATAATAAATAGATTATCTTAACTAAAACATAACTAAATAAATATACAAACTAATATTAAAAACTGTGAATATACAAGAAGATTACAGTTGTAGTTTATACTATAAATATATAAAAAGAAACTAAACAATAATAAATATAACTGCTTAACAATTGCTTGCATTATCCAAACATATTGTTTGACATTTATTTACCAACGAAGAGGACTTTCAATATTTGCAATATGATCATATATGTGAGCTTTTGTTGAAGACTCTCAATGCTTTCTATAAATTAAAATTTTAAAATATATTTTATTTTACTTACTTTATAATTTGATTTTTTCAAACATATCAGATGCTAGGTGAAGATATTTGAAAAACTAACCTTCCGGCTTCAAATTAATAATATATTTATGTTGTTTGTTGAAATATAAACAAAATGACCAGTTTATTGAAATTCATTTTCTGCGGTTAATTTGATTTAAAACATTATTCTATATTACTCAGAGTGAGTAACTATCAAATTCAAAAGATTACCATAGCAGTTTTAATTGCATGAGCATTAGACTCTAACCAACTTGGTATTCGTTTGTAATTTCTTTGCATCTAAAGTAAAATATTCAACATATTACTCCTTTTTATTAATAAAAAATTTAAACTTAGCAATCAATTTTGATTCTGTTAAAGCAATATAAAATAATTGCACAATCCTTTAAAGCTTAAAATGAGAATAAAAGAAGAAAAAATACAAATGTTTCACTGCATCACTAATAATAATATGAAAATATTTTTCTGTGTAATTATCTCAGCATTACTTATTATATATGTATTATCAAAATTCAAAAAATTCTAATTTGAACAGATTTAAATGGTATTGAAACTAGTATTTATAGTTAATCTCAAAAGAGCTGTATGCAAACACTGCCATAAAGTATTTATTCAGAAATACAATACTTACGTTTAAATATTTATTTAATAAGTAGAATAATATTTAGAGATAAACCAATAATATATTTATTTTTTTAAAACAAACATTTTTAATCAAACACTTATTAAATCTGTTGTTAGCATTTTAAAGTTTTAAATAAATGTGCGCTCTTTATTTTTAAATATTTTTTGAAAATACCTTGAATGTCATTTAAAAGACGATGCAAACCTTCAAAATTAGCTAATTATATTTAAACTAAACTTATTTTATATACTTTTATACGCCATCTTTAAGAAAAAAGTAAATAATCAATTACGGTAGATTTTTTTATAGTTAGCAGAACTATAGTTCTGCTAACTATGATGTATACATTTATATTTCTTTATTTTTTTACGTTGTCATTATGATAGCTCAACATTAGAATGTTACGTTTATACTTTTATGTTTTTTTAACGTTGTGTCAACGTTAGCTCAACTTAAGAATATTACGTTAAAAAGATTACGTTGACACAACGTTGAATTAACATTAAGTAACGTAAAACGCAATTTTAACATAAATACAACGTTAGCACAACGTTGTATGTCTGCTAGGTAGGACTTAGTGAATATTTTATTGTAAACCACTTTAGCGTATTTACCTGTTGCACGAATTTTTTTGGCTTCGGCGAAAAGTTGCTTAGATTCATTTCGTACTTTTATAACTACAATGATGGCACCAGCGATTAGGAATGCAAATGTAGAAGCGCCAGTGCTTGTTATGGACAATTGTAAATTCTACTAGAGTCTTTCTGTTTGGGAAACACTAGCCTCTCTTGGTATAGCTATTAAGCATCTGACAGCATACACGCCACAGTTAAATCCAATCAAAGAACTTTTTTCTTTAAAACATACTTACAAACAGGGAGAAAGGCCTCGAAACATGGATGTAGTAATCAGGAAAATTAAAAATATTATGAATACTACTACTATTAATATTAATTTATTTCCATTTTAAAACCATATGCGTAGTTACATAAATCCAGGGCTGGCTCTGCAACCATTTCATCAATAAATAACTATGAAAACCACCTAATTTATATTTTAAGTATACCTATATAAATATTTAAAAGCGTATTTATTGTTTATATTAAACTATAATAGATGTTAGATGATTGGTTGAGCTGCATATAAAGAGGCGTATAAGATTAAATAAACTCGCATATAAGAATAAATAAATGCGCATATAAGAATGAATAAATGCGTATATAAGAATGAATAAATGCGTATATAAGAATGAATAAATGCGCATATAAGAATGAATAAACGCGCACCCAGCGGAAACACAACGTTTTATTAACGTTTTTATAACATTAGATTTTATGTTAGTACAACATTGCCGGTTTGGCAAAATGGAAAGATTTTGTAACGTAAAACTCTTACGTTAGATTTACGTTAAATATTAACGTTATATTAACGTAAATTTCTAAAGTTAAATAAACGTTTTACTAATGTAAATAGAAGTTGGAAAAGTATTGGCGTTTTATATTAACGTAAAATATTGATTGTAATTGTGTAAAATTTAATGTTGATATAGCAATAGTTATATTTATATAACAGTGGGCTGAAGCCTGTTATACGCTGCTTTGTTACATGATTTTTATGAGAATACAACCGTATTAAATAGATGCTTGTATGCAAATTTTATTTTGTCCCATTCAATCAGCGTTCCATTCATTACAGTTCTTCCCAAATATTATTATTAAAATTGTTTGTTTTTCTAAATTACTTTTCTTGGGCTAGATTTTTCTATTAAATTTACTCACAATCTAAACAATTTGATTATCCAGTATTGAACAAAAATACATAAACGACTAAAACATTTTTGGTATTTTCTTTAGCATTTTTCCACCTGCTTTCTTGAAGTGACAAAGCTAAATTATAAATAAATGTCTAGAGGAAAGTTCATGTTCGAATAAGACAGGTTTAGATTCATTTGGTGATTTGTCACAGTTATTCTTTATAAGCAACAAAATAGTTGCTCAACTAAATTTAATGGCAAAATTATTTAACAAAAAATACAAGACTGTGAAAAACTCTTCAGAATGTAAATGGCTATCAGATCACTAAAATAATTCTTATTTTATGTATTATATGAAAAATATGAAATTAAAAGGCAATCAATCAAACAGACAAACTTTAAAAACAAAAAGTTATAAGTATAAATTACCAATTTACAGTATCCCGGTTGCATATTTTGAAACCCTATACAGGTTGAGAATAGGCAGAGATATGCGCAATCCGATAAATTAAAAATGCTGTGTTTTATCTTGAAGTAATATTATTAATTTATAAATAACTGAAAACTGATCAAGTTCTTTTTATACATAAATTGCCATAATTTACCTTAATTTGGTTAAATCGTTTAACTTCAATTCTCTTTGTTAGCTTGTATTATCAACTCTTAAATGTAACTGAACAAAAGAACTGTTCAGAAGAAAAACAAATAAATATTACTTTTTTTTGTTAAATTATCCAATAGAATATTAATATACAATTTTCATCCTGATTATATATATAAGTTAAAATACCCTGCAAAACGTTTTTAATTTTTCACAAAGTGTTTGAAGGTTTAAGGATGATGTTTATTAAAGTTAAGTAAAGAAAAATAATGATGTACGTCTTATCAGCCTTCTCAATATTTAGGTTAAACAGTAACTTTTTGAGAGTTCGTAGATTTACATGGAACATGTAAATTACAAATCATTACAAACGTAGACCGTTTCTCTCACACTAAAACATTATTTAATAAACTTAATATTCTAAATGTTTATAAACTAAACCTTTACCATATTCTTATCTTCATGTTTAAACTTGATAAAAAAATATCACCAATGTTATTTAATTAACTTTTTGAAAAAATAAACCACATATACCCTACTAGATTTTCAAAAAACAATTACATTCAATCCAAAACACATTATTCAGCAACCAAATTCTCAATTGCAAATCGAGGTCCTAAGCTGTGGAATACAATATTAAATAATGAGCTGAAATCTAATTATTCTTTAAACCAGTTTAAAACAAAACTTAAGCAATTACTGATGATACATGAAAATGAATTAAAGTTCTTCTAAAAAGCTTTTTAAACTAGCAAACAAAAAAAAAATTAACCTACTAATTACTCTTTAATATTATATTTAATATTCTAAACAATAGTCTGCTATTGTAAATGTATTTCTTATCTTATAAGTTTTGAATTTACAAACGATTTTTTAAGTTTTATTATTTGAAATACTAATTACTAAAAATATTGTAAAATTTTATAATTTCAATTTTTATTAAAAAAAGTTATTGTAAATTCTTTTTGTAATATTAATACTTATATATCATCTTATTTTACTAATCAGTTCTTAAATATAAATACTCTTTGAATTACTAAATATTTTAAACGTTATATATTTTATTTTTTACATTTTGTTAAAATATTTTATTTGATGAATATGCATTTTTTTGGGGGGGTTTAATGATAAGATGAATTTTGTCTTCTTCAAGCCCTAGTCATGTAAATATTTGTTTTTATAAAGTACGAGTGTAAACTATTTTCAATCGGCAAATACAATACTAAAAAAAAAAAAAAAAATGTAAGCTAGTTTGGTAAAACATCTGTAAACTTGATTTTTTTTTAACTTAAATGTTTAACTATTTATAATTTACAAGACGGTGTAAAGATGCAGTAACGAGCTAAGAATAACCTCTGCCTCAGTTGAAAGCTGAAAATTTATACTTTGCATACTTTAAGTATATTACCATTAGTCTGGTGCAACTGTATATAAACTTTGTATTGACCATGGTTTATAGAACATAGACATTACATTTGATAAAAAACACACTTAGAAATCTCGCAAAATTGCACACATGCAAATTCAAGTTAAATATTTCAAGACTTTATATATACAAGATACATTTTATTATAACAAAAATAATCGTAGCATGACAACTGATTTTGTTCTTTTTTTTACTTGGTTAACATATTTGACTTCAATACTTTTTCTTGATTTGAATTTTATTGTTTATATGTAACTGCGCAAAAAATTACTGTTCAGTAGACAAACATATAAATTTCACTTCTGTTGTTAAATTTTCAAATAATATTTTATACATACAGTTAATATAACCTGCGAAAATTTTTCAAAATTTTTAAAAAGTGTTAAATGGTTTAAGATGATGTTTTATTAGAGTTATGCAATAAAAAATAAACCAGTCTTCTCCAAACAATAGTTGAAACAAAACATAAAAACAAAACCTCCTTAAGGCTCATATATTGACATGGAACATGTAAACTAGTTTTGCAATCAGTACAAATTTTCTTTATTTAAAAACTCTAATGTTCAACTCTTTGTAATTAACGTATAAATCAATTTATAAATAAAGTATTTCACAAGTAGTCTTGTACAACTGTATGTAAACTTTGCATTTGAGTATGCTTTAAGGCCAAGAACATATTTTGCAAGAAATACATTTATAGATCTGTAGTGTAGTAAATTAAATAATCTATAATTAATTCTCAGCCAACATAGAAGGCTTTATTCTTCAAATAATAATATATAAACTAAAATATAAAAACATGTTAGTTTTAGTATACACATATTTAAACTCAACCAGGATAATAATACGAGTAATTATAAAAATCAGCACAAGATCTTTTCGAATTACACTTTTTTCCATTTCTTTAAATTAACAACAGATAAAACCTACATCACCAAGATAAACTTTAAAAAAACTTTGAGATTTTTACGAGTGAAAATTCTCTGCTACAAAACAAATTTTGATACCTTTTAAATAATTTAAAGAATAATAAAATAAAACAAATTTTCTATGTTGATAGTAACACAAGACTTGTATTGATAAACTTAGTTTATCATTACTATGAAACTTATATCAAAATCTGTTTACATTTTAAATATATTTTTAAATAAAGCACACTTGCCTCTCTTTTAAAATTAGCAAATCAGATTGCTCATATTTTTGCGTATTCTGAGCCTGTATAGGGTTTCAAAATACGCCTCCCTGTTGTCTTTTAATTAGGTTTCAATTTCATAAATATCTTCAATAGACTCAATCTTTTGAAAATAGTTACGCTTACACTTACTGACGTTTTATCGGCACATTTGCAACAATTTTTTTCAAGATGTAATTGAAGTTATGCCAATTATAACTCATTCTTATGCAAAAAATTATATAAAAATCATCACGATTATTTGGCTTGTTTTTACCAACAGATAATGATACAATAAATGGTATTCCTTTGTCAAACATAAATAATATAGACCTGTGTGTTTGATAACTTAAATATAGGAAGGCCATCTACATTGACAACAATAAAAATTGTATTTGACTCAAATCTATAATGCTAGTTGACTGCTAAAGTTCATGATATGCTGTTTGAAATACAAAGATAATCATATCCTCCTCCACATTTTAACCCACTGGAACATTCCTAGGAGTGAAATTATCCTTATGAATTTTGGTAAATCCCCTGTGGAACGTACTAGGAGTGAAATTATCCTTATGAATTTTGGTAAATCCCCACGGCAACGTCCATATGACGTCGAAAAGACGTCTTTTTAGGACGTCCAGAACTAGATCTAATTTGCAACGCCAGATAACGTCTTTTTACGACGTAATTAGGACGTCTTTTTAGGACCGAAAAAAACCGGTTTTTCAGACGTCTAAAAGATGTGAATTTAGGACATTCAGAACTAGTGCTTAATGGTCACGTTAAAAGACGTTTTTAAATAACCTAATTAAGTTGACTTCATTTCAACGTCAATAATACGTGTTTTTTCATGGCATTACTCAAACGTAAGATTAAAACTTATGTTTTCACTGAACTTACCGAGAATAAGTAAAAAATAAAAATATGCGTAAACTCTTTAGTAATATAATTTTGCTAACTTCTATAAATTATAATTTAAATTCTTCATCCACTTGTAGAACTTCTTCATCCACTTGTTGATTTCCAAGAATCAACTATTCGAACACTTGACGTCATTCACTTTCTTTTAGATCAGGTGTGGG